GGAGTGCTTAAGGAAAGATGAACCCGTTCTATTCCAACATTTCCTACCTTAGTCCAAAAGCCTTCATTACATTCCGAGAGAGTCCTATGTGATTTCAAGCCGAGTGAACTTACATTAGTGGTGATTTACATGAGAGGCAAGCATATGGTACTTAGAGCCGTACTTGTGAAATTTTTTTGAGAGAGATGAGCGAACTTTTCAAAAATCCTTCAATTGATTGCCACATTCTTAAGTGAGATATGCTAAAAGAGAGTGGAGGAGGAGGAGTATGGGATCCATAATGGCCTGCATGAAAGAGCGAGCTTCCTTGATGAATAAAGTCAACTCTTGATGCTCAAGTGTTAGATTAGAACTGTTGGTGCTTATAATTCAAATCATTGTCTTATTGATAATTCATAAGTATTTGGGTAATTGTTGGTCCCAATTGATGTGTGTTTGATACACCTTAGATTAGCCGGAATAGCTCTTAACTTGTGTAGGTAGGAATTACTTTAATTGCTTGAGGACAAGCAAAAGCTTAAATTTGGGGAAGTTGATAAGTGAGAATTTTGACTACTTATTAGCGCCTTTTTTACTTTCATTTTAGTCCAAAAGTATTTAATTGTATTCCCGAAAACTGATGAAATATGCTTAATTGCAGGAGTATTGGAAAATGAGCCACAAAGATGAAATCCAACTAAAAAGGAGTAATATGAACTCAAGGACAAAAATTAGGCATAAAGGCCCAAGTGCGGACCGCAGAATTCCATCTACGGCCGTAGAATACAAAGAGAATCCATCGGAGCTTTAGCGCAAAGTGCAGACCGCAAAATTCATGTGCGGCCTTAGAAGCTTCCCAAGAGCAGAAGTTCAGAGAGTATGCATATGAAGAACAAAAGAAGTGTGGACCGCACAACTATTGTGCGGCCGCAGAAGTCAGCCACGTGGCCGCACTCAGAATTGTGCGGTCCGCAAAGGGCCCTGTGCGGCCGCACCAGGAATTGTGCGGACCGTAGAACATTCAAGATACGGCCGCATTCCATAATTGTGTGGCCGCAGATCTAGCTCCTGTCAAGATTGAAGAAAAGTGCGGACCGTACATGGAATTGTGCGGCCGTAGAACCTCCGAAAGGGCATTCCCATAGTTAGTTGCTATTTCCATTTAGTTGTTTCTTCCTCGTTGTTGATACCGGCAAGACCCAGCCAGATGATGTCTGCTGGTTGGTAGTAATTTTTGTTCGAAATTTCCAACTTTGTATAAAATAGGTTAGTTTCATGAAATTAGGTCAAGTTTTGAATATTGGAACGTCTGTAGCCGTTTTTCCTTACTGCTTTAGGCAACTTTAGCTCACTTTAGTGATTTAACATTGGATTTTCATCTTTTAATCTTTGAATATGAGTTTTATCATCTTGTCTACCTTGTTCTTCTATACCCATCATGAGTAGCTAGATTTTTAATTAGGGTTATGACCCAACCCTAGTGTATAAACCTAATGGGTGTTTTGTTTATGGCTTGTTTATGGTTGAGTGTTTATTATTGAGCCTTATTTTTGCTTTTTATTGTAGAATTAATGGTTGTAAACATTAGCTCATGCCTTTTTGACTTGGTCTCTACTTGAGAAAGAGAGACTTAGTCTAGGAAAACTTGGCTAACAAGGATTTGGGATGAAATCAAGAGATTGATAGTCCCAATTAAAGGGTTAAACCTAGAGATAGTAAAACCCGACTTGAGCATTTTATCAACTGTTTTGTTCAATACCCATTTGGACTTGAGAAAGCCAAATTGGGCAAAATCACTCTCTTACCGAGAGGTATTGAGTGCGTACTTGAGTGTTGATAGCTATAATACACCCCGACCAACAAAACAAGCTTTAAAGTTTACAACCCGTTAGGCAAACACCTAGGTGAAGGTCATAGACCTAGCCTTTTTACAATATTTGAAAACAAAAATAAAAACACAATTTCGTAGTTTCAATTATTTGTATTGCAATCTTAGTCCAATTTAAACCTAGAAACAACCATATTTGTGGAAGTACAATCTAGATACTTCACGTGCTTAGTCCAAATATATACTACTTTATCCCAGTCATATAGCTCCATGTGGAATTCGACCCCGATTCTGTTGGGTATTACTATTGCATCGACCGTTTTATAACATCGAATAGAGGTGTGACTTGGATGAGATCAGACCTCATACTTATCTTTGATAGTTCCCATAATGAATTCCTTCAATTGTTCGATGGGAATTGATTCTTCGGAGGAGACATGAAGTTCTTTGGCGGATGACACTTGTTTTGTTGGAGGATCAGCCTTCTCGTGGACTTCAGGGAGCTTTCCAGATGCAGGACTTGATTCTCCATCCATCATGCTTTCAACTGTGCCTGTCAATTTTGCGATACGGACATCTTGACCTTGAGCATACTTTGTTAAGCCATCAATCGCCTTTGTTAGGTTTGCGAGTTGCTCCTCCATTGTCCAAGTGTTAGTCATCATTGCCTCCATGATTATTGCAGATGATGAAGAATAACCGAGACCTTCCCACGGATTGAACTCAGTTTGGAACATGTCATGTGGTGAGATTGGCATAGAGCCAACACTTAAAACTTCATTATCAGGTTGGGTAAGCTGACTCTTGGTACTGTATAAAGTAAGTTGAGCAAGAGCTTTCTCCACAACTTTTGCAATATTATCTCCTCTCTCTTACTTGCTAGCAGTGGGCCTTTCTTCTTCGGATGATGAAGATCTTGAAGCATGCATTGGTTCAGATGACACTTGGAGTGCTTGCTGTCCCAAGATGCTCGCCTTGCTTCGGGTGATTGGCCCAAGACTCCCCATTGTAGCGTTCAGGATACTTTCAACGTTAGAAGAAAATTTGGAGTCAGCAACTTTTGAGTCGATCTTCTTTGAAGTCATCTTAGTGATCTTGAATGTCGAGAGTTGAGAAGAGATGAGAGGTAGAGACGGTCCCACTAGGCATGCCAAAATTTGTAACAACTAAATTTCGCTCTTGAAAAATAATAATCAAGACAAGAAATATAGCGACAAATATTATATTCGATTTCAAGTGATGGGGTTACAATCTCTAAAATATCTCTAAATCTAAAGAGATGTAGTCCTCTGATTCTTCTCCTCACGGACGATGGTTCAAGAGCTTGAGAGCTTGATCTTGAACTTGACGGATTTCAGATTTGTAGTACGTCACGGACTATTTGAAGGTCGTCACAAACCAGGATTTGGTGTTGGGTTATCATGAACGGAAGATTTGAAGCCCCCCGCCTATGATTTGAGTTCGCCATTGGAATTTGACCACATACGACGAAGCTGGTATGGATGGAGACCTTGATGCTATTCTTCAGAGCTTCTTTAGCCTTCCTTCTGCTTACTTGCTTGTGTCTTAGCCTTCTCCTTTGACCCCTTTATATAGGTGTGGGGTGGAGTAGTCTCCAAGAAAACCCTAGTGGGCCATTGGGCTTGAGGTTTATGGGCCGATCCATTTGATAGAAGACCAATTGACGGGCTAGCCAATAATACATTGGACTTTTATTTAATTTAATTTATTTTAGATTTAAATAATCAACCCGATTATACTAGCCCATAGTATCATTTGGACTAATATGTATTTAATATATGATAAAATCCAAATTACTTACGGATTCAAATTTCATAAAATTTAAATTGTCTACAACTTTACAATGGCATGGATATTGCGCTGCCAAAGAGTTTAATTCCACTAAAATCCTCAACTTTTTAATGAATTTCCTATGCTCCGCTAAGTACATTTCGACTATTAATATGTCTCGTTTATAGAATATGAGAAATGACAAAACGGTTCCTTACATTTAGGGTAGGTAAAAAAAAATAGTCCCTTAAACATATTCCTGAGCAATTTTGGTGTCCTTTAAATTTTACAAAAGTAAGCATTTTAATTTTCGTTAAATATTTAATAAACTCCGTCTGTTAGATTTAATGAAAATGTGATAAAAACATTTAATGAGAAACTCATGTATGCAGATGTAACTTTTGCATTTACGTTATTTTTGGTGTCTAATGAAACTTTTTGAGGTGCTTTATTTTTTTATTTTGTTTTATTTTTTATTTTTTATTATTATGATTTATTTTTTCTGTCTCATGCAATTTTTAGTGTCGCAACAGAGATTTGATGGGACTTTTCGGATGTTTCTGGTTAAATCTTATTTTTTACCGTTCCTCTTCAATCTAACAACCATCATTTGTTAAGTGCTCAGTTTTGGTAAACCTAAAGGACAAAAACTACTTAGAGTATATTTAAGTGTTAATACCCTAAAACTCGTCTAAACTATATAACTTTTGTCAGTTGCCTACGTACATAACCTATCGTATGTCCCCGAAAACCTTCTAAACTATATCCTCCTTCATAATAAAACTCTCTCGTCGCTTAGGTGACATAATGTGTGCAACAAATCGCCCAAGAGCGCGTGAAAATTAAAAAAAGCCATTAAAATGGCGCACCTGAAAGTGTCTAACAGCTAATTAGCCCTTCTTTGTTTAAAATTTATATTTCTTTTTATTTTCTTCTTTTTTTCTTTATATTTCACCTTCCTTCCTCATTTTTTACCTTTCTTCTCCCTTTTTTTTTTACCTTCTTCATTTCTTCATCTGGATCCATCTGAAATATTCTCTCTCTCTCGCTCTCTCGCTCTCTTATTATTATTATTATTCTCCGAGTAAAGCAAAGTCTCTGATGAGAGCACATAGAAAATGAATTTTTTACAATTGACCTACTATTTTTAGCCCTAACCCCCTTTTTTATTTTTACCATGTAATTTTTTATATAATGATATAGTAATAAAGAGTATTAAAATTTTGATATAGTCTATTTTTTAGATTAAGCTAAATAAATATCCACGTAGATTGTTACTTGGCAGATTTTAAAAATAATTTAGAGAGTATATTATACGTACCAGTAAGAAAACAGACAAGTGAGTTTTATTATGAAGGGATACAGTTCAGAGTTTTTTGGGATATGTGAGAGTTTAGGTAGGACATATACTTTAGGCGGATTTAACTCGGTATTTGATGACTATTTTAAACCTATCACGCACATAGGACCATTTCCCCCCTAGAATATCCTAAAGACGAACTTTTTTTATTAATTCATAAAGAGTTAATGGGTCAATGCTGGTTGGATATTTTCTGTTTTGGGGTGTTGATTTCAGACTTCCGTACCTGAAGCCAAATTCTCATATCAACAATGGAAAGCCAATCAGAGAAGAAACCAGAATCTGTTTTTGACTTCACTGTAAAGGTTAGCTCCTAATGCGCTCAGTCTACTGCCATAACTAACTTAATCCCTTCTATTTCTGATCTAACTCTAGTTCATTGCATATCTGTCCAATATATACTGCCAATTTTTTTAAGAAAAAAAAAAGTAAGCTTAGGTATGATCCCCCAATAATTTTTTGAAAGGGGAAGTATTACACTAGAATAGGCATCGATTGAAGGGATTTCTCATCTCTTTGGTTGCATATATTTGTGTTTTCTCATCGTAATTTTGAGGGAAAGATTGGATGGAAGTATAAAGTATGATAAGTACCTTATGTTTGAGTAGAACTAGGGATGCCAAATTAGACTGTTTTTGGGCGGGTCAAAATGGGTTGAGTCGATAAATTGGCGGGGTAATGACCCACCCATAAGTTACTTGGGCTGAGATGAGATGGGCCAAGACGGGCTAAAATTTGGGTAATAGCCCAACCCCCCAACCTGCCCAGCTCGCCCAACTCTTACCAAGCTTTAATTAATGTGTGTTGTTTTTTTATGAATTGTTTAATTACTAACTAAGACTTTTTTTTATGGTCATATATAATATCCAAACAAAAAAGAATTATTTTAAAGATATTTTAGCTAAGTTGCTCATGGATCAATTTGGGTTAAAAATCAGCCTAACTCTAGATCGACTGGATCAAGATGGGCTAAGTTCAATAATGGGCGGGTCAATGAGCGGCCCAACATTCGACGGGTTGGGCGGGTTGATGGGCTTGAGCTTAAATTGCCATCCCCGAAGCATGTTTCTTTCTTTTTCTAAAACAAAAATAAAAAGATAGTGATGTCAAGGCCATCTTGCGCATCCCTCGACTATTTCACCTTATTTGTAACTTTCACCGGCACAAGTACTGAGAACACTGCCACCAAGGTTTAAGAAAGCAGTAAGAAATCACCTACCATTTTTTGTAAAAGGGTTCTTTTTCATAAATGTAAGATCTTTGCATTTTCCTTTCTATGCACTTAGCCAATCCCTTATGCAAACTTTACTATCTAATCACTCCCATTACTACCCAATGTTTGTCCATTTATAGCTCCCATTTACATCTTAAAGGAGCTGAAGTAAAGCTGAATTTCAACTATTCAACAGAATGAAAGGAGGCAGAGAAGATACACACATACCTATTAGTATCTCTACACCTTAATTGCTTTCGCCCCATGCTTTAGTTCTTCCCATGCTGAAATAGCACCTTTATGTGCTTTCAAGTTTCACCCTATAAACACTGAGAAAACACATTAGTAGGGGTGGCAAAATGGTTAAAAGAAAACAGTTAACCACCCATATTATCCACTAAAAAATTGGTTGGATAATGAACTTTTTAAAAACTGACCAAATATGGATAAGACTATATTGTCCATTTAGAAAATGGATAATCAGTGAGTCTAACTTTTACATTCAAGTTAGGGAGATTAAAAATTCTCCGTTAGGGAGATTAAGAATTCTCCCAAAAGTGATCATATGCAAGAAGTCATGGATAATATGGTTACCCATATTATCCGCCGGTGAACCCGTCTTTTATCCGTATTAAATATGGGTTGGGTCGGATAATTTACCCATTTTTTCATTACCCGTTTCCGACCCAACCGTTTGCCACTCCTACACATAAGAAAAAGATGAAATAACTTGGTTGAGTCTGCTACCAATATATACCATAAAGAAGTACAAGTGACCACAATGAAATTGTTCATTTACTTGTACCTTTTTCCCTTTTCTGAACATAGTGTCTCATTTGCTCACAGGATTCGAAGGGAAATGATATAGACCTTAGTAGCTACAAAGGAAAGGTCCTACTTATCGTGAATGTTGCTTCCAAGTGGTAAAATCATCTATTTCCATCCATCATATTTATAGTTGATTTCTTTATGTAATTTCTCTGATACCAGTTGAAGTCCAGGGAAACAAACAACCTTTGTTCAGATGAAAATCATAACTCTAAGAACTGGTTTCTTCTTTTTGGTAACTAAATGATTTTATTATCACCAATAAATATTACAAGAACTTCAGCCAACACAAAATATTGTCGGCTTTCTCAAGTATTGCTACCTATCTTAACTATTTTCTTTTCTTTCATTCGTTCTACACATTTTATGATTCATTTCACTTCATTGAACTTTTCAATGTAATCGATTGTGTTGTCCACAGTGGGATGACTAACTCAAACTACGCAGAACTCAACCAATTATATGAGAAGTACAAAGATCAAGGTATGTGTCTTTAGTCAAGTCTATTTTACCCTTCTGGTTAGTTCTCAATTTATATCTCTCTTTTCCTGGACCAATTCCTCATAAACGGAGGATGACTTCTGCCATTAAAGAAGAAGAAACCGTAGTGTTTGAAAAGAATGAAGCATTATCTTCAGTTGAAGTTTACATCTAGACTATTTGAATCACATTATTATGGTTTCAACATTATTAAAACTGCCATTAGTTGTCTTTTAATTTCTTTCCATTTAGTTTTGAAACTTAAGTTCTTTTCATATTTAAACACAGGCCTGGAAATATTGGCATTTCCTTGCAATCAATTTGGCGAGGAAGAACCAGGGAGCAATGATCAGATCTTAGACTTCGTTTGTACACGTTTCAAGTCAGAGTTCCCTATATTTGACAAGGTATTGAAAGAACAATATTCTTGATAGATCATTGTTTTATTAGCTACTAATTGGTGATTTGCTTGGTAATATGTCCCATGTTTTAACCTCTCTCTGCTTTTGTGTTTCAGTGTTTTAAAAGTGAATACTATTCTGTTGGAATATCCTGAAAAAACAGAAAAGCTGCCTTTCTATCCTTAAATTGGATTATATACAATAAATTCGTAGGCATCTTCTGTCAGCTATAAGCATTGGTGTTGCATTATAAAAGGACACCGTTACATTGTGAAATAACCTGTTTCCCTAGAATTCATGATTTACTATTCAATGGGGTCTCTTTTTATTCCCAACTATGTGTGATTTTTTTGTTGAATTAGATTGAAGTGAATGGCGAAAATGCATCTCCTCTTTATAAGTTGTTGAAATCGGGCAAGTGGGGAATATTTGGGGATGATATTCAGTGGAATTTTGCTAAGTTCCTGGTTGATAAGAATGGACAGGCTGCTGATCGCTATTATCCTACCACCTCTCCTCTGACAATTGAGGTAACTGTTGTGTGCTACTTTTTCCTCCAACTGCTTGTGTAACATAACTTGTGTATTGATTCTTATGGATTCATGCTCTTGTTGCAGAGGGATATAAAAAAGCTGCTGGAAATGGTGTAGTTGCCAAGGTTGAGCTTTCGACGATGTGGATCAATTTTTGACTTGTTAATGTTGGCTTGGTTTTATTGTAGGAGTTTGCCCCTTATTTTCTTTATTTGGTTATCTGATAACAGAACTTGTATGTTCTTTTGGAGAAGTTTTAAACTGACTTTTATTAATCAATTCCTACATGTTATTCTGTCTCTTGATATTACCAATCTGCTGGACATTTCCCGAAACAGATAGCCAGGCATTTGAAATTATTGGTCTATCAGTTTTTGTTTGCGTGGTGTCCAGCTGAGAACTGTTTTTTGTTTGTTTGATATTCTTGTTGTTTGTTTATTTCCATCTTCTAGTTGTTGCAGTTTGGTAGGGTATCATTGTTCCTTTAAGGAAAAAGCTTGTTGCTTGCTAACACTATAATGTTTTCCACTGAAAAGATATATCTGAACATTCCAGTGATGATATTTTCACCCAAATTTTCAGTAAGAAGAAGTTCTCAACTCAAGCAACCTATTGGTTGCACGAACATACTTCAATCCAATCTCAACTTCCATTAGCCTTGAAAGAATTAATTTGGGAGTAACAATGGTAGGTTCTTGTAAGTCAACCATATCACTTGAGCTTAAATTCTCCAATTCATGACTCAAAAGTTTGATTTTATTTATTTTCTTGCAACACGAAAGGTCTCTTTAGGAAATCCGAGGGGAATGTATTCACAAACAATTTTTAGCTTAGTACAAGTGCACTAATCAATTTTCAGTGCTGATGATAATGAACTAAACAAGTGAAACTCCTCCAAATTTCCAGCTTTTATTTCTATTGCCCCAATTTCTTTTGCTATTCAAATGAACCTTTTTAAGTTCAATCAGATAAGGCACTGAGAAGGAATTTTGGGAGGAACTATCTTTCAACGTTAAATTCAACAATAGAAGGGCATTTGTTGATAAGTTTGGAAAAAGTTGTGGGAGAGATTTGAACGAATGAAAATATATCTCTTTCAATAGAGGTAACTTCTTGATATCACCAAATTTTTCCTCCTCGAGATCGCAACCTTTTAAATGCACAACATTTAACAAAATACTCTATCTGTTCCAGTTTATGTGAACCTATTTCCTTTTTGCTCCGTTTCAAAAAAAAAAATGACCACTTTCTAAATTTGGTAACAATTTAGCTTAAACTTACAATTCTATCCTTAATGAAAAACTTTTATAACCACACAAATATTCTGGCCCCCTTTTGCTTTGTTTAGGACCACAAATTCCAAAAGTCTTCGTTTTTTCTTAAACTCCGTGTCCAGTCAAACAGGTTCACATAAATTGGAACGGAGGGAGTATATGGTAATTCAATTCCTATAAATTTTAGATTTCTTACCCTAATTGTATCACATTCTCTTAGAATTTCTTAATTGTATCACATTCCTAAGTCCTAACCAATCTTGTGACGATTATAAAAATATTGCAAATCTTTATGAATTACAAAAGATCACTTCATAGATCTCTAAAATTATTTATCATAAAATTGACGAGATCCCATAGACCATTGTCCATTAATATAGAGAAAGACAACAATGAGAGAAAAAAAATATGAAATAGATTCTAAAATCAGCTAGAGTGGTTCATTTGTTTTTTTACTCCCCTCCCTTTTATTCCCCTTTGATCCCATTTGTTTGGTGATTCAAACCCACGACCTTGGGGTTTTAGGTTGGGCATGCTGACCATCTGAGCAACCCCCTCTTGTCTAGAGTGGTTTATTTGATAACCATCTCTTTAGCATGGCAAGACATTCCGCTGGAGCCCAAGTTGGTGCAGTATGTCCTGCTCCCTGAAATAGATCAATGCCCACATTAGTTAGATCTAAAAGAATGAAGTACATATATATTTAGGTAATAGAAAACAAATGAAGTCTATTCTTGCCTTCAGTGTCGCAAATGTCATTTGGTTGGAAAAACTTCTTGTATATCTATGCAACAATAAGGATTAAAGATTTCACTTTCACTCTTTAAATCTAGAGGAGTGCTAAATAAAGTTAGAAGTGAAGAAAAATAAATAAGATTCTGGTAACACACCCTGCAACTTGACCATTAACAATCCATGGCCTCCAATCGTCAGCAATGGAGTAATTTAGTGATTTAATCCATGCTTGCGTTGATATAAATGGAGTCATCATGTCATGGTCACCACTGTTTTCGAAAAAGATGAAAACAAAATATGTGATTATTACGCTTCAGTGTCGAGCTAGAATCCTCAAGGTTCATGTCAACAAAGAGATGAACACTACTCAAAATAATAGGAATTAGCGACGGACAAATTCTATAGCGAAATAGAAAAATTCGTCGCTAAACTTATTTAGCAACGGATTATCAAGATATTCTGTTAGCGACGACCGATTTAGCAATAGATTAGCGACGAAGTTCATAACTTTTTTGGTAGTGAAAGAATTAATGGCAGGGGCATCCCAAACATTTCAGTAGTTGCATAAGAAATATGTCTAGTCCATTTCTCATATTTCTTAGAAAACATTTCTTACCTGTAAATAAGAGATTTCAAGCCTTTAGTGCTAAGATATGCATGATATGATATAGTGTTGTTCACATTCATTGTAAAAGGCAAGTTACTCCTGCATTTTTCCCAAGCTCCAATTGTCCCCTGTACGTGTTTGATCTCCTAACTTAGTCATCAACATCAGTATTCCAAATTGAACCTTTTCATTCCTTAATAAAATTTCATACCTTTCGAACATGAAGAGCCTCTCTGACATTCTCATCATTAGCCCAAATCTCAGAGAGATGTAACCAATCACCCTATAAAATAGAACAGGAGCACCAATTACTTTATATACGAAATACATGCCGAATTACAACATTATAGACTCACCCTGTCACACAGGGGGAGGCACGATTTAAAGCTTATGAGTGCGAGATTCTAATTCTTTTAAGTTATTGCGTTCTAAATTAATAATTTGTATATATCCAATAAATTTCTTAAGACAAATACAAGGTTTAGATCAAAGTTACTGAGTTAGGCCGAACCATGACCGAAAGGCTGGCTCCGCCCCTACCCTGTCACCAACTAATGTATATATTTGGTCAAGTGGTAAAATCGCAACAAAACATTCAATCCATAATAGAAAAATATTGTTCGACAAGGAAAATGAGAAAATATTAACAAGTACTTTGTTGTGGAAATGACACCAGGTAACCACTTTTAAACATTCTGTTTAAAATATATTCGCAGTTTACAATGTATTTAAAGATTAGCTAATTTCGCTCAAACTCCAGCACACGGCGTCCTAGAGTTTAAACCCCAAAGTTCAAACTTGAGGACATCGTGTCCTAAAGTTTGAAATTTGTGTCCAGAAGTTCGAATCTTATGTCCTTAATTTTAAATTAGTTGTTCAGAAATTCAGAACACTTCGTCCTGGATTTCAAATTATAGCAGCTCAAACATTCAGGACACTAAGTACTGAATTTCCAAATTCAAGCTACTTAGTCCTAGAATTTGAGTAAATTGGCTAATCTTTAAATACATTATAAAATATACTAAATAAGGAGCCTAAAAGTGGCTATTACTCCACAGCGCCATACTTTGTCAGGTCCCAAATGTTAGTCGTTTAGCCAAATTGAATTTGTTTCAAAATGCTGACGTTGTAATATAATGCTAGTAGAGGAAGAAAAAAAAGGCATAATATATCTTACTAGACATTTTACTCCTGGTTTAGCAGGAATGTTAAGCTCTAGAGGGAGCTTGCGAGCCAACGATCTTCTCGAGCCATACAACGACTGGTCACAATTGGGCTCTAGAATATGAGCTGCAACAATTCCTTTAAGCAACTGCACAAGTTAACTACAGTATTAAGATTTTGTTTGGTTTAAACAGTAGCACTGGTACAAATAGATATTTAATCAGAGGAAAATGTATCGCTAACCCAATTGAAAGTACGCATATCTCTTGAACAGAGTGTATTGCTTGGATTTATATGGTTGTACTCTCCTCCACAGTTACCCTTTAATGACTGTTTAAGATCGAAAATAATCATATCCACTTTATTAAATATTGGTGGGTGATACTTGAAAGAAAAGAAGCAATGTGAAAGAGTAGTTTCCATGCCTTGTATAATTCATCAGAAATAAGGCCCATCCCATGAGCATAAGGGATCTTATAGTTATGTTCATCAGGAATAATTGTTACTGGATTCCCAAGTATGTATCCCTGCCACCATTTAGTGCACCATTCATAACTAACTTAATTGAAGAGTAACTCAAGAGTAAAATCAAATAAATAAAAATATGTTCTCTCTAACATTTTAACCTTATGTGAGATAATCAAACAATTCGACCTAGTATTCCTAAATTCGAGTCTTACCAATACCCATTATCAAAAAGAATTTTCACGTGATTGACAAATGAAACTGATAGAATCAGACTCGGACACAAGGAAATAAAAAAATATACTAATTCTAACAAAGTAGTTCTTATATAAGATGGTCAAACGCTTTAACAAATAACTCTATGTGATTTGTGGAAGCTGCAACTATATTGTTTTCCAATAATATATCATTAATTTCGTTACTGTTTTTACTTCATGTTATTTGATGTCGCATTTGTCTATCTTACAAGCATATGTTGTGTTTCCACCAAGGATCCTATCACTATGCTTGTATTTGAAATTTTATAACTAAAATAGATGAAGGATTACCAACCTTAAGATCGATCCATGGCTTGATTCCAGCATCAATCCCTGCAAGGATATATGTTACACACGCTATTATATATAGGTTAAACTGTACACTGACCGAATAAAAAATATTTACACTATCAGTGCATAAACCTAAATTTGTGTTTAATTTCATACCATCTGATATCACTTGGGTAACTATAGGAAGAGTAATTCCACTATATGAGTCTCCACCAACATAAAAAGGATTATTGAGATATTCTGGGTGCTCAGTTATTAGCCACTGTAAAATACCATAGAAAATTAGTAGTAAATTACAAAACCATATAAGTTCAAACTTTCCATGTCAAGATAAGTACATATGAATATAAATAAATTGAAATTCATTAATGAACTAGCATTAATTAAGGCTTCAAAATGAAGTCTAAACTTACCTTACGAAGAAATTGATAAGCGTGATCACCTGCTTGTAAATTATTTGAATGATTTGACTTTACTGTAGTTGCATACGAGAATCCAGTCCCTACTGGGAAATCTACAAATATAACGTTTGCCACCTAAAATTTCATGTATTAGCACATATA